AACCCCTTCAGGCTGGTTTTTCATGCTTTTTGCATGTGCCTGTCATTTCTGGGGCCCTTGCTTTCTGGCACAACAGAACATACCAGCCTCACCTGGTACTTTGCTACCCCAGCCCTGGAGTCACCCATTTTTCCAGGCTCTCTTGTTTCTTTGGCAGGGAATGATATTTAGAAACTAAGTTCTGGGGGCGCCTGGGTGGCTCAGTTGTTTAAGCGGCTGCCTTCGGCTCAGGTCATGATCTCCTGGGATAGAGCCCCGCATCGGGCTGCCTGCTCAACGGGAGCCCTGCTTCTCCCTCTCCCACTCCCCCTGCTTGTGATCCCTCTCTCGCTGTCTCTTTCTGTGTGTCAAATAAATAAATAAAATCTTAAAAAAAAAAAAAGAAACTAAGTTCTGGGCATCAGGTATGTTCATTACTGCCTGGATGTCATGCTCTTAGGTCCTCACAGCTGAGAGAGCTAAGGAATATATGTATGTATATACATATATGTATGAACACATACATCTGTATCTATTTCTATACCAACTTACATATTAAAACCTGCGAGTTTATGCTGATAACTCTGGTTCTGATCCAACACTGCAGGATTTATTTTCTCCTCCCCGTTTCCTCGTCTCTAACTATGTTCTGCAGCAGTGAGAAACTTGGCTCCCCAGATATTCCATGTATTTACTTATTTGCTCCATATACCTGTGTGTAATCCAGCTCCCACTTGTGCCTAAGCTAGACCTTGGCTCCCCAACCCCACTGACCACACCAGAGCCAAATCCTCGGCCCCAACCCAAGGGCAGGGGAGGAAGGGGTGCAAATTAGCTTGAGAACCCTTGAGTTAACAAGCTCTCTAAGCTCCTGGGGATCCTAAGCTGCATTGCCCATGCTCAACTCCTTGCCAGCTTTGTCTGACTGCCATCTTCCTTTCCCTGTGCCATTCCAGTTAGAATATTGTTGCTAGGGATGCCGACTGCAAATCCACCAGAAGAAACTGCCTGGGTCATTTCATTGATCATCGGGACCCCCAGCCGTAGTTCGCATGGCCCCCTGACACGCTTATACAGTTCTTGGGCAGAAAGCTCCCGCTACAGGGGAGGGGGTGAAAGATACCATCCACACCCATGACATGTTCCTTTAAGGTGCAGAGAAAGTGAACACAGCCACAAGCGCAATGCCATCTGTCTGTATAGTACCTCAGTGTTGTAAAATCAAAGCATGGTACAGTGGATAGAGCTGGGCTTTGGAGTCAGACATCCGCACATTCAGATTCCAGCTCCGACAAATTCTGTGACCTAGGGCAAGCTATATTATTTTGCTCAGCCTCAGTTTCGTCATTTACAAGATGAAGATAAGAATGCCTTCTCTTCAGGGCTATTGTGAAGAGATTGTATTTCTAATGCCCCCGGCGCAGTGCCTGGTTTATAGGCTTGTGGCCAGGTGGGAGATTGTGGCGGACGGCATGAAGGCAGGAAGCTACCAGTAGTTTGCTGTGGGAAATACAGAGGACTGTATAAATCAAACTGTAGGTCATACTTCTCCAAGTCCCCTCCTCCTTACATCCCCCCTTCCACACACCCTATACTGTGCTCGCTTCTGACTCCAGGCCTTTATTTCCTCACCTGAGTCTGCTGCGAAATTCTCTCTCTAGTTTCCTTTGTCTGAAAGAAATTGTTCATATTGTCTGTACTGCCAAATTAGCATTTTGTCGCTGTCTTGGAATCTGAATATCATGAACATGAAGGTCCTATCTCCCCAGGCAGACCAAAGCTTCTGATGGGCCAATGCTGTGTCTTTTTTTTTTTTTAAAGATTTTATTTATTTATTTGAGAGAGGGAATGAGAGACAGACAGCAGGAGAGGGAGGAGGGTCAGAGGGAGAAGCAGACTCCCTGCTGAGCAGGAAACCCAATGCGGGACTCGATCCCAGGACTCCAGGATCATGACCTGAGCTGAAGGCAGTCGCTTAACCAACTGAGCCACCCAGGTGCCCCGGGCCAATGCTGTGTCTTAACCCCCATACCCAGCAGCACCTTGATCAGGGCTTGACCCTTTATAAACTCTTACTTGATTGTAATTATTTTTTGTTTTTTGTTTTTAAATTTTTTTTTAAAGATTTTTTTTTTTTTTTTATTCATGAGAGACAGAGCGAGAGAGAAAGGCAGAGGGAGAAGCGGGCTCCCAAGGAGCAGGGAGCCCGATGCGGGACTCGATCCCAGGACCCTGAGATCATGACCTGAGCCGAAGGCAGACGCTTAACCATCTGAGCCACCCAGGCGCCCTGTAATTGTTTTATAGTGTAAAAAAATATCTCCTTATGACTCCAGTCAGCAGGTCAATAGACCACACACTCTTCTCTAGTCGTCTTACAAGAAGGTCTCGCCAGAATTCAGGCTAGTGTTTGGTACCTGAAAGAAAGGACAACCTTTATTGTTTTTTTAGTTGAATTCATTATATCTTACATGTGTAGCACCCAGAGCCTTGCACGTATGAAGTGCTTAGTTGAAAATTGATGGGATTGGACACGTTGATCACTTGTTTCCCAGTGTGGCATAGAAGCATGCAGGTGCAAAGAGTCGCATTCGTTGTAAGGGAGGGAAGCTCACTCTGAGGTGTGTATCTCATCCGCACAGAGAACAATGTCAGAAGTAACCTGGGAGTCAGCCTAAGTATGGAAGATCTTCAGAGTTTTTTTTTTTAAGTGGAAATTTTCTTTATGTTCTACGAGCATGATTAATTTATAATCTTATTGATTGGGTTGGCTCTGAAATACGAGGCAGGAGAGTAAGTATCCTGACTTCAGCTACTAGGGGAATTGGATGAGTGGTTAAAGTAAAAACACTTCGGAGCCCTGGCCTCTGTTTTTGTTGGCACTAGAGATTTGGCAATTAGAATCTCCCCTAAGGAGACTCAGGTGGAACCTTTTGCTTTCTGTTACATGTTCTCCACTGCACCAGCCCCTGCCCCATCTCCACCTACCCACCCTTCTGTTCCCATCCTTCGGGAACAAAGTGTGGGGGCTGATCCGCTGCATATGTCTTGGGCACAGACATAGAAGATTAGCTTCACACATATGCATGAGGGGTGGGCCTGGGAAGAGCAGAAGTAACAGACCTTATGCCTACGCTCAAGGAGCGTGTGGTAACATATAATCGGAGAATAAGATTCTACTGTATAGCAAGCACCTTTCCCCTTAGGTACCAGCTTTAGCTTCTCAGTGATGGCGAGAATGCTGTCTCAAGGATTCTGAAAGGACACCAAAGATCAGTGAAAAAGAGAGCCATTATTGATGGCATCGCCTGCTGCAGGCCCAGGATGGGAGAAGGCCGTCCTGTTTCTTGAACATTTGACATCCTTACACTTGATAGTAAAGTGTTAAATAATAATAATAATAATGAAGTGTGAGTGTGCTGCAGGTGACAGAAGTTGAAATCAAGACAGAGGGTTGGCGTGAGTAGGAGCTGTCTGGGCCAAGCCTGCAGATGATTGGAGAGGTGGCAGAGGGGCATCTTGGCCAGGGGAGGCATCCAGGCATCGCAGGCGAAGGCCCAGAGTCGGGGGTACAGATGGGGCAAGGGGCAGTTAAGGTGAGTCTGGCTGGAGTGGAGGGTCCCTGTGCAGGAGCAACGAGAGATTAAATGGCAGGATGGGGCAGGCAGAGGTGGCGAGGAACGGGGGTGGTGACCCTGCAGCTTTCCAAGGTTAACTAACGAGTTCTTTCTCTGCTCGCTGACCATCACCACAAGGACCTAGCCTAGGCCTGAAGTTCTTTGAGGGCAGAGTGGCTACATCTGGATATAATCAACTTTCAGTAAGAAAAGCTCTTGAGTAAAATGTCAGTTTTCTCCTATTCCTGCTAATTGATGCTGTGTGTGGTTCTTGTCTTGTTCTTCCTGTTATATAAATACATTTTGAAAGCACAGCTGGATTCCTGTAGCCTTAGACAGTAACCTAAAAAGATGTAAAATGTCAAGGGGTGGGGACTTCTCCCATTCTTCATACAGCTCAACTGTGCAGGAAACAATGAGTAGAGCCCTGCTGGCCCCGAGCTGTGATGACTCAGTGGGGAATGGGGGGACAGCTGCAGCCATCAGCACCATCATGACCTGCTGCAAGCCTGGGGCTGCCACACCCTCTCTTCTCCCAAGATTTTTTACACCTTCGATTCTGGAAGTTTTAAGGAAAAAAAATGGATAAAAGGAGAAAGAAAACATTAGAATACTTCTTTACTATTTCTCTCTGTTTCAGCATCTGTCCCGTGGGCACATGTAGGTTAATGATATCAAAATATTTGCTGACATCATAACCTTTTTGTGTTTTCAGAGATAGGAAGTCCAGTAGAGTGGTTAAAAGCATGAGGTTTGAGCCAGGCTGTTTGATTTTGAATCCTGGCTCCCCTACTCCCTTGCTCTATGACCGTGGACAAGGTCCTTAACTTTTTTGCACCTTGCTTTTTGAAAATGAAGACAGGAATACTACATACTTCATAATGTTACTGTGAAGATTGAGTGAAGTTCAGTGAAAGGACACTTCTAAAGTGCTGACATAGTGCGTGTGCCCCACTACATCGTAAGTGTTCAGAAAATGATCACCGTTGTCACTTAGGGTTTTCATTTGCGGAGAGAGGAGATGGTACTAGTATGGTAGTAGGAACAGTGCAAGCACTTAAATGGTAGCTTCTAGGCTCAGCTGTGCCACTAAATTATGTGACAAACTTTCTAGACCTTAATTTTTTCATCTCTTAGAGGGTCCAATAATACCTTATCTCCCTTACAGAGGCTTGGGGTCAGATGTGATCATGAAATGCCTTGAAAAGTATAAAGCAGCACACAAATAAATGCCAAATATTCTTGCTGCTGTTATTGTAGGAGTGCTGGTGGTAGTTAATGAAGGTATGGATGGAAGTGGTCCAGTTTTAAATGTGAAAAGCATTAGGAATGATTTACTCATGGCAGGTAAGCACATTTTCTTTATCTTTCTTGAAATAACGTTGCAGGCTTTCTTCCTCCTAGAAACCTTGGAGAGCTGATTGACCGGTTTGTGGCCGATTTCAAAGCCCAGGGGCCACCTAAGCCCAACACTGACGAAGGGGGTGCCGTGCTCCCCAGCTGTGCTGACCTCTTTGTCTACTACAAGAAGTGCATGGTGCAGTGCTCTCAGCTCAGTACTGGGGAGCCAATGATCGCCCTGACCACCATTTTCCAGAAGTACCTCCGAGAATATGCCTGGAAAATCCTCTCTGGCAATCTACCCAAGTGAGTGCTATTCTTCCTGCTCGGAGTGGTGAAGTAAGATTCTGAATATACCTAAATATGGGAATCTCAGGAAATCTACTCTGAAATTGTTTACCGAACTACTAAGAGTCTCAAGGAGGGAAACACTCTTACTGAGTTCCCAGGGGTCTGAGACTATTTCCTTTCTAATGATCAAGACTGTTAGAGGGAATGCCCACACTAGCTGCCAGCACAGGTCAGATCTTAACCACAGTGGACTCAAGGGAGTCCGTTCCATTATGTATATATTTAATTTATATAGGTTCAACAATAGGTGGTTGGCAAAAAAAGGTAAGGTGGTGGTAGCAATAACTCTTAAACAGCATGGGCAGTTTCATTCAATGAGAGTATGCCCTGGGATGATGAGCACACGGGAGGCATGAATCTGCTTTTCCCTCGATCTGATTACGTTCCCAAGTCTCTCTTATGGTGTGTGTGTCTTGTTGAATAGAGTCTAATGTTTAAAGATGTGGTAGGATTTGGGGAGAGGGGGTTACATAGCACAGCCCCTAATTATAGTGACTTCACTGTATTCTGGGACATTAGAATATTGTTATATTGCTTATTAGAGTTTAAAGATTTTGGGTCCTGGGGCGCCTGGGTGGTTCAGCCAGTTAAGTGTCCAACTCTTGATCTCAGCTCAGGATTTGATCTCAAGGTCATGAGTTCAAGCCCTACATTGGGCTGTGGAGCCAAAGATTTTTGGTTCTACAGCAATTTCAATTATGATGGAATATGATCTAAAGTAATGCTTTGGTATTTATTATTTATAAATCATCCCCATGGCTAAATTCAATAATTCTGGAAGTAGTTGCTGTTGTTTTCACTAAAATGTGTCATATGTGGGAGTTTACATTATTTGGAGGAAAGAAAATAAAATTCCTATGCTCTAACCAGAGATTTGAAGTAACAGATATGTTTCACCAATGAGAGTTTCTTTGACTATCATAAAAAATTTTTTAGACATTCTGATCATCAAAATAATGTAAGTTTATTATAGTTTAGAAAACACAGAAAAGCAGAAAGACAAAAATGAAAGCCAGCTATAATCTCACCACCCAGAGAAAACAAATTTAACTTTTTAGTATGTGTTTTCTGTTCTTCTGTGCTTTTGTTTGTTTAACAGTATTGGGACTCTACTGCTTGTAGTTTTGTACCCTGCTGCTTTTACTTAACATCATTCTGCCAGCATTTTCCCCATGTGTCACAGCAGGAAAAAAATGGTGTGCTGAGTTAGGGTATTGTTGCCAAAGCAACTATTCACAGAAATGGGGGCAAGGTGAAAGGAACCAACAGAGGATTCTGAAGCATCCAAATTCTAGGGGGTAATTGTTACCACTTTAAAACTCACTTGAGAGCTGGGGCTGTGGACGAAGGGTTGCCACACAGAAAATGGAGGGCCACAGTCACTGCCCACACCACACAGAAGCAGAGGGAGTGGAGGCCTTGTTAAGACTCAGACTTCCCACTCCTCTACCTCTCCAACTTCTTGTCGCATCTCCCGTTGACTGAACCCAGCAGGAGGCCAGAGGGCCCGGGAGCCAGGGTGATAAGTCTGAGGAGGTCAGTCTCCTGAGCCACAGAGAAGGGAAGAGAAGGTAACGAATGGATCTGGGAGGCCAACAGAGAACGTTCAGCACTTGTGACAGTACAACGTCCTCAAAACACTTTTCAGGATGTCATGATAATCCAACATGCAGGAGAACCTCATTGAACTTCTGAAGTTCTTATTTATCTTTCTCTTAATTGATCATTTAGGTTGGGCTCACTCTTTTAGTATTTTAAATAACACTCAAAAAAGCATCCTTGAACGGGAGTAGAACTACTGGGTCAAGTAATGTGAACATGTTTTTTAAGCTCCTGCCATATACCTCCAGGAAGGTTGTACAACTTAATGCTCCTGACCCATAGTGCAAGAGACTGTCAGCATCCTCACACCCTTGTAAGTGCTGGAAATGAAGGTATTGTCAAATCTGTGATTACCAGTAAGACTGGGCAGTGTTAGGGTTATTTTTTAAATATTTTTATTTTTAAGGTAAGTGTCATTGAATTTTGTCTTTTTAAAAAAAATTTAGACTCTCACAATGGAAAGAGCAGGAGGTTTTATAACTATTTGTACATTTTGCGAACACATGATTAGATCAGTAGAAAGGGGTTAGGCAGCTGGGGCTTTGGACAGGAACCATGTCTTAACATTCACTTTGGTACCCCTCCACAAGCACAATGTACAAATTCCTGTGCAGAATTTTCTTACCTGAAACAGTTGTGGAACAAGCTTTTGTGCTACAGATGATCCTAACAGCTCTTCGGATCAGGAGATGCTAAGCTAAGCAGAGAGGCCACTCAGCAGCCTTCTCTGTGAGTATCAGAGTCCTCATAGTTAATGTGACTGATTACTGGCTCACTGTTGGAATTGTTTCTTCCTACTCCTGATGGTCAGAGAGCTTAAACAGATGATAGTCAAGGTAAGGTCAATAGGAAAAAGCTCATTGTATGTGGGTTTGTTTGGGCCACGTCCAGCCTTTCCTTCCCCCTTTTCTTTGTCTTAAGATGTGCAGTTACCAGTTCAGGAAGCAAATGAAAAGTCCCAGCCTAACCTGTTCCTGTTCCTTTTCCTCAGAACCACAAGCAGCAGTGGAGGCCTGACCATCAGCAGCCTCCTCAAGGAAAAGGAAGGCTCAGAAGTAGCCAAGTTCACTCTAGAGGAGCTCTGCCTCATCTGCAGCATCCTAAGCACAGCAGAGTACTGTCTGGCCACCACCCAGCAGGTGAGCTGCCCACCGCCTCCTTTTCCTGAACCATCTGGGCCTCTTGACTCAGCAGGTAAAATTGTGGGCCTTCACAAGTCATGTACAACCTTGGGCAGACCAGTTTTCATAGGGAAAGCTTGCTGTCCAGCCAGACGACGGTCCAGCCAGCCATCTTACAGAGGAGCCTTGTTAAAAAGAGACTGGGCAAGAAAGTATGACTGATCTCCTCCCCAGAGTTGTTTCAGCTACTCAGAGGGCATGCCCTCTTGAAAGTAGGTCAGTAGCACTGTTTCCCATATGGGAAAAGCAGTGACAAACCTAACGATGCTAGGACCCGGCCTCTGGTGGTGATGAGTCACAACCAGTGATTCCATTCTCAGAAGTGTTACTAGGCTAAGCAAAATCCTTTGGGCTTTTATGTGTCTCCTGAAATGTACATAGCATCCTCAGTCTGCCTAAACAAACAACCATTGTTTGGATGCTGACGTTCAGGAACTGTGCAGCAGGAAAGGGTGATGCCTCTCCTGGAGCTCCCCATTAGCAGGAGGAAGACCCAGAAGAATTTTCCATTTAGCCTTCGACGTGGGATTAGAAGTTCCTTTTCACATTTGGTCTGGAATTCACCTAAGGCCAAGAGAAGGAAAATAATTGGAGAAGGTTGTGCTCTTCCCCCCTTTTTGGGTTTATTATTTACACATGTCTGGATCATGAGAAGGTAGTCATAAATTATGGTTCAGACAGTACTGCTTGGAGTGCCTGTAAGCCAGAGCAAGACTACAAGAGGCCAAAATAAGAAGTGTTCCCCCCAGAACTTCACAGTTGAGGTTAAGCCAGCCAGAGGCAATAGCATGCTCTGTTTGGGGACGTGGTCACACTGAGTCACACAGGGAATGATCTGTAGAGGTTTGGCCTTGGAGCCAGAGACAGCAATCCCTTCAGCCCCAAGAACTGCCAGGGCAGGACAGCAGTATCTGTGAGGACCTCCAAGGCAGAGGTCCCAGAGTTCAGTGATGAAGAAACACTGTCTATTTAACTGTTTTGCATGTGTGCAGAAAAGGAAGACACACACATATAATAGCGTATTTTAAAAAATAAAACTAAAAGTAAACCAAGTAAATAAATAATTTTAAAAATTAAAAATAAAAGTAAAATAACCATGGAACCAAAGGGGAAAAACCATTAAAATAATGACTTAATCCCATCACCATCATATTAGCAGTTTGGCGTATTTTCTTTCAGTCCTTTTTCATGAACATAGTTTTTGTTGTTTTTTTTTTAATTTTTTATTTATTTGCGAGAGAGAGAATGAGAGACAGAGAGCATGAGAGGGAGGAGGGTCAGAGGGAGAAGCAGACTCCCTGCCGAGCAGGGAGCCCGATGCGGGACTCGATCCCGGGACTCCAGGATCATGACCTGAGCCGAAGGCAGTCGCTCAACCAACTGAGCCACCCAGGCGCCCCTCATGAACATAGTTTTGTATGCTATAATCTTAACTTAATTCAGTCTCATATCCCTTTGTTGTTTTTATTAACATCACAGCACTAGCGTTTCTCCTGTTGCTATAATATCTTTATTGCCAACATTGTTAATAGTTATATATTATTTCATTAAGGGATAACACCATAAATTATTTCACAGTATCCCTCATAATTATTTATGCTGTTTCAGGTTTTGGCTTCTAAAGTAATCCTACAGGGGCACCTGGGTGGTTCAGTTGGTTAAGCATCTACTTTAGAATCGGGTCATGATCCTCGGGTCCTGGGATTGAGTCCTGCATTGGGCTCCCTGCTCAGCGGGAAGTCTCCTTCTCCTGCTGCCTGCCCCTCCCCCTGCTTGTGCTCTCTCTCTCTCTCTCTCTGTGTCAAATAAATAAATAAAATCTTTAAAAAAAAAAAGAAAAATTAAAAAAATAAATTAATCCTATAGAGAACATCTGATATGTTTTGCATTTTTCTAGAATAGATACTTAAAGTTCTGGACGTACTAGTAGATCAAAGACCATTTTCATGACTCGTCATAAATGTAGCCAAATTTTCTGTTATTTAGTGAAGTGTTTTTTTTTTTTAAGATTTTATTTATTTGTCAGAGAGAGAGAGAGAGAGCACAAGCAGGGGGAGCGGCAGGCAGAGGGAGAAGCAGGCTCCCCGCTGAGCAAGGAGCCCGATGTGGGACTTGATCCTAGGACCCTGGGATCATGACCTGAGCTGAAGGCAGATGCTTAACCGACTGAGCCACCCAGGCGTCCCTAGTGAAGATTATTTTTACTGATTATAAAAGTTAGTACATTCTTAGCACCTATATAGTGATCTCTAAATACCGTTTTCCCCTAAAAGAAACCAGAGATTCCTCAGAATTGAGTAATTCCAGGTCTGGGACAGGAAATGTACATGATGAGCCTGGAGCATCATGTCATGCAAAAAGCAAGAAAAATATCAAAGACGGTGACTCATTTCAGAAGGATTCAGGAGTCATAATGGGCTTATTGTACAAAAGGATATACCTGTAAATGTGACCCTATTCATAATTAGGGTCTTTGAAGCTGTAATTAAGTTAGGATCTCAAGAAGAGATTATCTTGCATTTAGGGTGAACCCTAAATCCAATGACTGGCATCCTTAGAAAGGAAAGGGAGATCTAACAGACACAGGGAAGAAGGCCACATGAAGATAGAAGCAGAGATTGGAGTGATGTGTCTATAAGCCAAGGAACACCAAAGATTGCCAGCAACCAGAAGATAGAAGACAGGCATGGAATAGTTTCTCTCTCAGAACTTCCAGGAGGAAACAACCCGGCCAACACCTTGATTTTGGACTTCTGGCCTCTGGAACGGTGAGAGAATAAATTTCTCTTTTGAGCCACCACGTTTGTAGTAATTTGTTAGAGCATCCTAAGAAACGGATACAGAAGCCAACCTAGGGGCGCCTGGGTGGCTCAGTCATTAAGCGTCTGCCTTCAGCTCAGGTCATGATCCCAGGGTCCTGGGATCGAGCCCCGCATCAGGCTCCCTGC